ATTCGACGCTCCCCCCCCCCCTCCCCCCACTCCCTCTCCCTCTCTGTCTTCGCCGGCGCCCGTTTGTCGGTTGAGAAGTTTTTTTAAAAAAAAGAAAATGGCGGCGGCGGCGGCGCCATGATGATGATGATGAGGAGGAGGAGGAGAGAGAAGAGAAGGGAGCCCGCCGTTCTGGAACATTCCCTCCTCCCGTAGGGAGAGAGGGAGGGAGAGAGAGAGAGAGAGAGAGGCCGAGTGTCGGCTGATTGCCGCGTTATGTTAACGGCGCTCGGGTGCGGGTGCGGGAGAGAGAGGAGAAAAAAAAAGAGGGAGAGACAAGACAGTGAAGGGGGCGACGGTGGTGGTGGTGGTGGGGAGGGGGGGGATTTAGGAGGAAAGACTGGAATGGGGAGGTTCTCTTGGTGGTGGTGGTGGTGGGGGGGGCAGAGAAGGGTCTTTTGTGCGGGTTTAATTTAATGGCGGGCGGTAGGGGAGAGAGAGAGAGAGAGGTGGAGGGAGGGGAGTGCGTGAGTGAGTGCTCGGGCTCCCCAGTGCGGACCATCCTTTTGTTGCAGCGGGTGGACGGAACATCATCTCAAAATGAGAGCTCGGGATCATTTAGGAGTGAGGTCGGGCAGCATTTCCCTCCCCCCTCCCCCCACACGCACACAAAGGGTAGTGGAAATCTGGAACTCTCTCTCGCCCTCCCTCACCCAAAGGGGCTGTGGACGTTGCGTCCCCGTCACGTTTTCAAGACCGAGGCGGAATAGATTTTGGTTCGGACAGGGCATTTCGAGGGATTATGGTTAAAGGCGCGTAATTGGAATTGACCTACAGATCAGCTATGATCTAATAGAGTGGCGGGATAGGCTCCAGGGGCCCGAACGTCCTCCTGTTCTGATGTTCCTACGGAAGCGGAGCCCTTCTCTCTCTCTCTCTCTCTCTCTCCTCATCACCACAAGGAACTCCCGCAGTGAGTGCGCCGCTGTTGCACATGTAACTCCCCCACAGCCCTTTTGTTTCTCCTGCACACGGTCACTATACACCGAATCTTGCGCAACGCTTTGAGACTCTTTCCCTTGCCCACCACCCTCACACACACCTGACAGACACTGTACCAAATGCAATTATTTATTTATTAAATCCAGCTCCTTTGACCAAATACAAATCTACAGATCTCTCCCTTTGTATTTATTTGTTGGGGGAGAGGGAAATCTGTTATACACTTGACCCTGTGGTACACATGTCAATGTGGAGATTTTTGTGGTCTACACTGTTGAAGTTTTTTTTTCCCCAGCCTTGTGAAAGAAAAAAATGGGTAGTTTTGCTAAAGCCCGACCGGGACTGCTCCTGAACGAATCTCGGTTGTTGAAAGCTTGTCCATTAACACCTGGGTAAACGGTGTTATGTTCCTGAGGATGGCTAAGAGGTGATCTGATTAAAGGGTTTAAAGGGAATTGACACGTTGGAGGGGTGAATGATGCTTCCTTCTGGTCAATGAGTCCAACACACGGGACATATTGTAATCTTGACATTAAAACCAATTTTATTGTTTAATGATTAAAAATTATCTTAAGCAGTGTAATGTACTAAATATTCTGTTATTTTAGAGTCCTGAATATGAAATGAGTAGTCGGGTTAATGAGATACTTATTAAAGTGGAACGAAAACCCAACTAAGGGTGTAAATAGAATTTCTTGGAAAATATAGCAAATATTGCTGAAATGTAACAACAAGAATACATTTGTATAGCGCCTTTCACGTCGGGAGGACGTCCCAAGGCGCTGGACAGAGTACAGCATTTCAGACCTGAGCTGGGGTTGGGGGGGGGTAAGGGAGGAGAGGGGGACGGAGGTGGTCGATGGCAAGGTCGAAGAGAAGGGTCTTGAGGCAGGACTTGAAGGAGGCTAAGGAGGGGGTGAGGCGGAGTGACTGGGGAATGTACATGCTACCTCAGGCTCTCATTTGATTTTTGCTCATTTTTGCCCTACAATCAAAAGATAATCTCTATCCAGGGTAACGTCACATGTGAGAGGTGGGAACTTGGTACTGGAGAGCATCATTCCAGCTTAATTTAAACTTTTTTTAAAACAAAATCTTAGGCAAGTGATGCAGAACAAGATGGCTCCGTTTTGAAGAAACCTACTTCAGAAATGGAAAAGAAAAGTGAGAGATCTGCATCATCTAAATCTCCCAAAAGTTACAAGCATCACTCTTCACGATCTCGATCAAGGTCCAGATCGAGATCTAGGGACAGAAAACGGAAGTCTGGTGTGTACATTTTCTGGTAGTGTATGTGGTTCTACTGCCTTATGTGGGAAATTGGAATGCTCCCCAGTTATCACTGGAGGTTGCAGTTTTGTTTATTTTGTTTCTGTTCCTCCTTTAGGTCCCCAGGTGACATTCTTTGATATGACAGGTGGTCTGTTCTCAAACCTGTTTTCAATGCCCACATCCTTTGAATGTTTTGTTTTCATAATCCCCATCCCTACCTGAAATTGATGAATTCCACGTCCTCAACAAATCGATGGTGTTGCATGTTAGTACACTGTTACATCCCTGAAGAACTTTCAATTAAATTGATCCAATCCAAGCAACTTTTGATTTAATGACTCTTTGCTAAGAATTTTATGCCTCATTTACACAGGATAAATAACGTGTGAGAAATATAGTATAACAGAGGCATCTTATAACCAACTGACTCCTGCAATGAAATCCTCAACTGACCAAGGATTTGTACAGAAGTGATGAAACGAATCATATGACTAGTACCTTGTTTCTTGGTAATGTTTCTACCCGTTTTTATTTTCATATGTGCTGCATGAATTAAAGAAGCATTGATTCTTTTTATTAAATGTTTAATATAAATCCTTGTCGTTCGGTCTGTTGAGTAGGTTGTCCATTAAATGGTAGAAGTTTTTTCCATTTTACAGGGAGTGAAAGTCGGAAACACAGACGAAGTCGCAGCAGAAGCAAAGAGGTAATTAAACGCTTTCTGTAGCATATTGGTAACTTAAATAAATGATTGTAGTAGCACTCAGTTGTATTAAATTGAATACTGACAGTCGGCATGGTAAGTATCAAAAACAGTTGCTGTACATAAGTAAACTCTAGCTGTCTTGACAAAATATAGTCTGCTACCTGAGCATGTGATGTGGTGTAAAGATATTTCTTCCCACTACTGAAGGCCTGTTATAATTAAAATCAATGCAGTAAATGGGTTAAATTGACCATATATTGACACATTTTTAATATTTAGTGGTGTTGACAATTTAGGAGGCTATCAATGCACTTTTTTTGGCATTTTTCTGTGTTTGGAAAGTTTACTTTGTATACATAGATCACATGATAACATTTCTATAATGAATCGTACTCAGCGTGCTAATGCACGAAGAGACACAGCGAGCAGAAGACGCTGCAGAGTCAAATAGCAAAAAATATAAGCCTACCTCCTGAAAAGGTAAATATCAGCCATTCGCACTCATGTATTTGCTTTGTAAGTTGAAAGAATCACCAAGCAAATCTGCTTTGTTTGTGGTAGTCAATTGTCAGTTCAATTTGGTTTTCGGGTGGGTTTGTTCCCCCAAAATAGGTAATGTCAATAAGTTTGGCTTGTTTTTATTTGTTTCTTAGAACTTGCTAGTCTGTGCTACATGTTTTTGCCCGGAACTAACTTTGCTTTAGTGTTGCTGAATGAAAGCCTAAATCTTGGCAATAGTTTTATTGATCTGATTAAGCCAATGAACCAAAAATGTTAGATTATTGTTGGGCAACAATTGTAGCACAGAATTTCATTCAGTGAAGGTTTATTTATTACAGTAATTTTAGAATTGGTATTAAAGACTTTGTGTTTCTTAAAGCAAATGTTTATTGTCTGTAAAGGAGCTTGAACTTGAATAAGATGAACCCTCCAATACTTTACTATTATTATTGAGTTTGTCTAATTTAATTGGATTCAGATTAGGTAATGGTATTGGGTGGTGTTCTGAATTAGAGCACGGTTTTTATCTCTGGGACCCAAGGTCAAATAAAACCCCAGATTGAACAAGAGAGAAACACAAAGCCGCCTCATAATTTCACAAAAAATGGTAGCTTCACTCAGCTCATAGGAATAGCCCAATTTCCGAAAGCTTGGAAAGGTTATTCAGTACTAAGCTCAACAATACAATCTCTGGTCTGTGCTGAGGGATGCAATTGACATGTGGGTTAAGGTGGGGATCAGAATGAATGTTCCTTCCTGTTTGGGCAGCATTGGGCTCCGCTCTGACTTGGTGTGCACTCCATACATTGGAAGAGTACCCAGGGAGAAGGAAAGGGTAAGTTAAAAGCCTTCAGATGGAGAGGAAAACAGTGGGGGCGTGGGGTGGGGGTGAGCTTTTATGGAGCATGCACAGGAGGTGGGGGAGATAAAGACCAGAGGTTGTAGGTTTGTATCATGGTCTGTGGTGAATTGGCTGATTCAGGTTTGGTGCTATAATTTGCTTCAGTGCCTCTGTCGAAGGGAGGAGGAAAACTCATACTAGGCTCCTATTTCTGATCACCATTTGAAGTCTCTGCTGCATATCTGTAGTGGTTGTCTTTGCCTGGCCCTACAATCAAAAGCTAATCTCTATCCAGGGTCACGTCACACGTGAGAGGTGGGAACTTGGTACTGGAGAGCATCAGCACGCAGCTGGAGTCAGTGGCTTCAGAGAGGGGGTGAAGGAAAAATTTAGGAAAATAAAAAAAACCTGTGAGTGTTTGAAAAAGTGGAAAGGGTCTAATTTCATTAGTGCTGACATCTGTTACTATCTATAAATCCTGAATTCAATGAGATTGAATTTTGACGTTAAATTAATCTTCTAGTGATATATTGAGTTTACCCAATGTCTCCACCTGAGACATTGCTGAGCCTCACTGAAGAAAAAAATGTATACTTTGGTGCAAATGGTTACAGGAACTAATTGGAAGGTGAAGTTTCGGTTCTTTAGAAGCCTGGTGCATATTTAGATTCTGCAAACGTGCTTATTTTTAATGTAAAGTGCAAGCCATCTCGAGATTGCTGTAGAATATCAGTGACTTATATTGAATGTTGACCGTAAAATCATGTTTGTACTTTTTATAGGGTTCCTGCAGCAGGTTTGGATTTTTTGGTGTTTAAATATTTGAGAATTTACAAACTTGAAATGTTTAGTGAAACCTTATATATAGCTTTTCTGTGATTATTGGCTACCACAAAGGTTTAGAATTCCTGCAAGTATTAGAACCCAATAGTTTGCTTAAATTCACCAACAGCAAAAGATTTTTATTCAACATTTTTGTTGCATGAAGATAGGAAACATAACTTCCTTTTGAAGTCATTTGCTATGTTGTTGGTGAGTTTAAACATCTTAAAAATATGGTTATTGAATGTATTTTTAACTGAAGAGATTGCAAACATGACTTAGCAGTAAGGACATCGTAATTTGATTATATTGGTATATTTTTTGTGAAATGTCACATATTTCAAAGGATATTCTAAATGCTCAGTGATATACACGTACTCGGAAGAATTGTTTCAATCAGCTGCAAATGCAGTGTAACCTTCAATGATTATCAGATGATCTCTCAATTAGTGGAACATGAATTTCAGTGCTTTTAATTTTATCTGCTTCATCCCATCTAAATTCATGTTCTTCAGCACGTAAAAGAGAGCTTTATTTTGGCCAAGGATTAGTTATCCGCGCTTGCAGAGTTAAACTGTTTTAATTGAAAGTAGTTGATACAATTCAAAAGTTTTTGGTTTTTTGGCTAGTCTGGGGAATGGGGCATTGACAGGTACAGTTTCTAAGGTAAGTGAAGCATTGACTTTGGGTTCACTGATTAATCTTAGACTCAGTACCAATTTATATTAAAAAAATGACTTCTGACGTTTTGGGAAATTAGTTGACTAATGGAATCCTTTTTAGCAGGAGTGAGAATCTGACACTTCCATATAGTAGTTGAGATCCAAGTCCTGTTAAATATCATATGGGATTATTTGTAACTGAGGCAATGGGCTTTAGCTATTGGAGTACATTCTGTAAATATAAGACTCCATGGAGAGCATTGATATGTTATGATTGTGAAAGACTTAGCTGAGAAATTGATTTGCCTTTTACTCAAGTCAGTTTTAATCCCAGTGTAGCTGGAGAACTCTTCGTGCACAGTGGCAGAGGTTCATGGACACAGAATAATAAATGAAAACATACCTATAATCCTTTTGTTGCTGGTATTGCATTCTTGTTTATGACTTCTGTTTCTTTGGGTTTGGTGTGTTGTAAAGCATTGGATGCCGAGAGAATGTTGCATCACTCCAACTAAAACATTCAGACAGTCGTTGCTTTTACAACCCACCGTTAGAGCTTTATATTTTGATGCCCATACTAACTCTCTTTGTTGCACTATTTTCCTGAAAGAACCAACTTCTTCTTAAAACAGGAACGAAGACGGGACTTGAAAGAAAAGTACAGCAGCAAAAAACAGAAATCTTCCGATCAAACCGAGAAGGAGCATGACAAATGGAGAGAGAGGCTGAGTTCGACAGAAAATGGGGAAGACAGACCAAAACGCAAAGAAAAGAAACCTCCAAGAGGCCATAGTTATTCACGATCCAGGTCAAGAGAACGGTACGTTTGTTGCGAGTATATTTCAAGGAATATTTCATATTATTCAGTTGCCTTGTTCATATAGAATCGTGTATATGTGTATCTGTGTGTGTATATATATATATATATATTAAAAATATTCTCAGATTCCCCAGGGGCTTGACCTTACAATTGCTGTTGCTCTGACTGGGTGACAAAGTACGATGGGACTTTATTGCAGATTGAATCACCTGATTGGGGATCAACCAGTTAATTTTAATGCCATGCACCAGAATGTACACAAATAAAAGCTTTAATGTCATGAAACTTTCTTAATGACAAACGTTTTATGACATTAAAGCTTTTATTTAATTCAGTGAATGCTCTTTACAAGTTTTGTTATTGATAACTCACGTGGTTTGCCTTTCTAATGCTTTAGGCGCCATCGGAGCCGTGAGAAGAAGAGATCCCGTTCACGTAGTAGGTCCAGGAGGTCGAGGAGCAGGGACCGGCGATCGCGAAGCAGAGATAAGAGATCTAAGAGCAAGGATAAAAGATCCCGCAGCCGAGACAGGAGATCGAAGAGCAAGGACAAGAGGTCTCGGAGTCGAGACCGGAGATCAAGAAGCAAGGACAAACGATCCCGAAGCCGAGATAAGAGATCGAAGAGCAAGGACAAACGATCCCGAAGTCGAGACAAGAGGTCAAAGAGCAAAGACAGACGATCGCGGAGCCGAGACAAGAGGTCAAAGAGCAAAGATCGACGATCACGGAGCCGAGACAAGAGGTCAAAAAGTCATGACAAACGGTCAAGGAGCAGAGACAAAAAGCGCCGTCCAAAGTCCCGATCTCGATCACGGTCCAGGCACAAGATACGTAGGAGCAGGAGCAGAAGCAAGTACGTTAGTGCTTCATTACTTTTTTTCCTAACTGTAAATACCCAATTGATAATGCCCTTACATTGGTGTCATTTATCTGATGTATTGTGTTTCATATGACTTATGGATGGGAACCAACAAGCCTCTTGTTTTTGAATTTTGTGCATTGATAACCATTTTGTAATGAAACTTAAATTTGCAGGGACAAAAGAAAGCGCAAATTCAGCAGGAGCCGGAGCCGGACTCCTACAACGTTCAGGGGCCGCAACGCTGCCATGGATGCTCAGGAAGCATTAGCTAGAAGGTAGGTTTGTTATGTTTCATTCTGTGTGTGTGTGGAAGGCCATTGAAAGCCATTACTGAAGGTGGATTTAGAAGGTAGACCTACACATTGGGGACCAACAGCAGCAATTCACTGACTGTTATATTTTTAATATTAATGTTATAATATTATATAATATAATATTAATGTTTTAATAATAATGTTATAATATTTTTGATCACAGACTTGAGAGAGCAAAGAAGCTTCAAGAGCAAAAAGAAAAGGAACTCCAGGAGAAACAGAAAGTGGAGCAAACAGATGCTATAGGTAACCTTTCATCATTGAAGCTAATATATTTGTTGATTTTGAGTTTTGAAAAATATAATTAAGGCAAAGGTAGCAGACAAGCTGCAAGGAAATGTAAACTTGGTTAGTATTTTATTGTTTATCATTCCCCATTTTGTGGGTGATTTTAATTTTAACTTTAACTTAGAAGTATGAGGAAGACCTTATCATTCCAAAAATTCTCAAAAAGTGCTAGATGGGCAAAGTGTGCTGATAAGGTGAATGATCAATTAATCTAAAAGATTGTTGGCCAAGGCACCCGTGGAAATACCCTTTGTAAATATGTTACCAAATCTTTATTCCACAGGCTTCTTTATTTCTCCTTACTCTTCAAATCTCTCTTTTGAAAGTTAAGATATTTATCATGGTGATAAGAGGCCAATTTAAATCTGTCTTTCTATTCCATCAACAGCAATAAATTACACTTGTATAGCAAGCAGTGAATCTGCTGTACACGATTGGCTACCGCGTTTCGCCCACAAAATATACAGTCAATTCACTTTACAGTATATTCTGTGAAGCGCTTGAGACATCTCAAAGATGTGATAAGTCGCTATATCAAATGTAAGGATGATTATTGTATTATCTTTTGACAATAAAGGGCCCTTTTTTATGAGCCATATCTAATTCAGTACTTGTTTTAAAAATCCCCTTTTAAATGAAGTTCTACAATCTCTTATTTTGCATGTATGGTCTGCTTTCTGAAGGTTTCCCATGTCTAAAGGATGTTCAGAATAATTATATGTCACAATTAATTTGCTTCCTACAGTGTCCCATAACCAACAACAACAACAAGATTACATTTGTATAACACCTTTCATGTCCCAAGGAGCTGGACTGTACAGCATTTCAGACCTAAGTTGGGGTTGGGGGGGAGGTGGGGGGAAGGGGGGTGACCAATGGCATGGTCGAAGAGGAGGGTTTTGAGCCAGTACTTGAAGGGGGCTAAGGAGGGGGGCGAGGCAGAGTGATTGGGTTGAGTAGCCAATTTATTTGGCTTTGGGGTTAAATTTAGATGGGGCAGAATATAACTGGATATTGGCAGAATATAACTAGAGTTGCTTTTACTGCAGTTCCTATTTTGGCTTCTAAGGCAGTTTGTAAAAAAACAATCTGAGGAAAGAGGACTCTTGTCTGACTGTAGTAAGCGAAGCACCAAGTTAAAAGCTCTGTGTGTCTGATTGTGTTGTACCAGTGTTTAATTGTGAGTATTACTAATTTAAAGACCTTCAGAATTCCTGTTAGGAAATGGGAGCAGGTTGTAGAGGGGAGATTTTATAATAGTAATCTTTGCATTTGACACCGTGCCTTATCACGTCTTTTGAGACATCTCAAAGCACTTCACGGGACACACTATAAAGCGAATTGACTGTATTTTGTGGGAGAAAAGCAGCAGCCAATTGCGCACAGCAGTGTCCCACAAACAGTCATGGGTTGAATGACCCCATGATTATTATTTTGAAGGAATTATTACCCCCAGAAGCGATCTGCCAATTGACTAACAACCAGTTGACTAACAATAAACTCCATTTACTGCTAGGTAACCAGAGAGAGGCATTTATGTGAATAAGGAAACTTGCCTAAGGTTTCCCCCTGATTTGACCGCCCGGGAATCAAACTCAGGTCCTCTTGCTTGCGAGGCAAGCATTCTGAATGTCCGATTCTCGTATGTGCATGGTTCATCAGGATCCAGACTATATGTACAAACGCAAGAGTGATACTTTAGTGCAAAATTAGGATTTTTTAAAAATCTAGTGGACAATGTTTTTTTGGAAAAGTAAGTGTTTTCTACTTTCAATAGATCCAGCTAGCGAATCACTTGGAAGTATGAACCCAACAGGTAGGAAAGCTTAATGTCTACCTATCAGCAAATGTTATTGCGACACGTTGAATGTTATTATATGACTGCAAGGCTGGGAGGTGCATACATTCTTGTGTCAAATGTGTTGCTGGTGACATGAAACAGATTATATAGAAAAGATTGTTTGGTGTTTTGTTTGAGAAGAGTGCACTTGGAGGATTGCACAACCTCCAGCCACAATCAATTGTGATTGTGCATCTCATGGAAGTTGTTCAGCTGAAACAATATTATAAAAATTGGGTGCTGGGATTTTGCAGTGTTTCATTGAGTGTGGGCACTTTGACCACTGGTCAAAATTTGACCTTGAGTATTAATGGCAATGATTTATTGAATTTGTTCAGGGATTTGGTGCAGAGACATTAACACTGCATATTGGGGAGAGAGAATGGCTGACACTGTGTAGTACTAAATAACAGTGTAACATCTGCAGTTGGGTCATTACATTATATTTTGGAGACTGATTTGATATCTGAACTCAGAACAATGGGGCTTGACCCAACTGGTGTGCATTTTAGACTCTACTGCAGATTGAACACAGTATCAGAAGTGTTGATGTAAAATAAAAAGCGCTCATTCTGTGAAACTGAATATGCACTAATGTGGGTGAATGTTTGAATTGCCTAAATGTTCAGAACTGCTGAAGATTGACCAGAGGAGGCAAGTGTAGTGAGTGACTGATGTTTGGTGTCTTTCAGCTGTGGCAAGTGGTGGATCAGTCCTCAATGTTGCTGCCCTCCTGGCATCTGGTACTCAAGTCACACCTCAGATTGCAATGGCTGCTCAGATGGCAGCACTACAAGCCAAGGCATTGGCTGAAACTGGCATAGCAGTGCCCAGTTACTACAACCCAACAGCTGTGAACCCAATGAAGTTTGCAGAGCAAGAAAAGAAACGGAAACTGCTCTGGCAGAATAAGAAAGAGGGGGTGAGTTTGAATGTTTAAAGTTGGTTTGATTAGTAATGCCTTCATACCCTCTACTTTTAATGGTTTTGCACTAGCTTTGGGTAGAAAAGTTTACGTTTTTAGATGCATTTGAATAATACTTCTTGCATTTAATATAGCGCCTTATTGAGACATCTCAAAGCGCTTCACAGGATATACTGTAAAGTGAATAGACTATTTTGTGGACAAAATATGGCAGCCAATTGCGCACAGCAGAGTCCCACAATTTTTTTTTCTCCACCCAATTACACCATGTAATGTGACAGAGCGAGTAAAGTACCTATTTCCAAGTGTAGCTTTATAACTGGATGATTGATTTGGGAGTTCATGTGAATCTTTTCGTGGGAATTTGCAGACAGTACTTGCTGTGTGCACTAATATAAATAGGTTCAGATTTGTTGTGTGGATGGGGAAATAACTCCAGCAATTATTCCAGGTTTAACGTTTCTTTTGTTGAATCCATAGTAAATAGTTCCAACAAATTTGGTAACAAGTGGCACTGTGTTAGTTCAGTATGGGACTCTATCACTGCTTGGCAGGAATACTGGGATCTATTGTGTGTATCTGTGGGTGAAATAAGCACAGGGTTGGCTGATGGTGGCTTATTTTTCACAATTTTTTTTGATCATGTTCCAGGATAAGTCACAGACTGCAGAATTGTGGGAAAGGCTGAATTTTGGTAACAAGGACCAAAATGTAAAATTCCGAAAATTAATGGGCATCAAGGTGAGGCATATTAAGAATCGTTAAATTCACTTCCATACTCTTCACATAATTTACTGTATCTTGTGTTAAAAATGTTGATTGCAGAGATAAGAGAATTATAAGCGATCATTGAAAGCTTTAAGTTTTAATAAAGACCTCAATTTGCTGAAATGTGAATGTTTTAGTTATAATAATCCTTGCATTTGATATAGCGCCTCATCACGTCTTTGAGACATCTCAAAGCCCTTCACTGGATAGACTGTAAAATGTAGTGACTGTGTATTTTGTGAGCGAAACGGGAGAGTAATTCTTATCTTTATTGTAATTCTGTGTTGAAGGATGAGGAGGAGGTGAGAACACCTACGGCGGCGACTGAAGAAAGTTTCAAAACTTTGAAGCAACAAGAGGAGATGTTCAGGAACCTGGATGCTCAGTATGAGATGGCACGATCACAAACACACACCCAGCGAGGCATGGGACTGGGTTTCTCCTCTTCCATGAGAGGAATGGACACGATTTAAGAATAAGATGTTGAACTTGTGCTGAAGTACAGCACATTTTTATATTGTCTTCATCCATGTTGGGAGACTTCAAGCTTCATCTTTTCACCTTCCTGTTTACCGGAAAAAAAAGCTAGCTGTCTAGCTTGCATGGTTGTTGCAATGCAAAAATAATTTATTATTAAAAAGGTTTTGATTGTAAAGATAACAGTGTATCAGGCAATCGCATTGTGATAGTTACTCTTCCTTAAAACCGAAACTTTGAAGGAACACTTATTTGGTGGTGTTATTTGCAGCAAGGAAAGGAGATTCTATCACTTTTTTAATGTATTTGAAGTGATGTCTGCAGACTGGTTTCAAACCACCCAATCTCACATTTTGTTGTAATACTTCATGTTGCTGTATTATGTGATTGCTTTTGTACTAAAACTTGTACAGTTATTTTCATCTTTCGAAAGGCAAATGATTGTGTAGTTGTAAATTAGGACATAGTTTGTTTGTAAGTACCTATTGCAGTGCTGAAAGGTGCGTTATAGTGCACTGTTCATTGCAAAGCTTTCTGGACAATAAATGGATGATTTTCAGTATAACTATTACAAAATGTGTTCTAGAATGCTCTGAGCATGGTTCATTGTGTCACAAAGCGATAATTCTCATATTATTTGAACCTTAAAGTCTGTCCATCAAAGATAATGGTGGATATTTTAAGATGTCAAGGCTGCTTTGAAGTGAAGAGTAATAACATGAAGGCTGACAAATTTCACTCACTGTTTGTCACGACATTGCTGTAAGTTCCCAAGTGGTGAAAATATTAGTTTAGTGAAAGTCCACAGAGCACCTAAAAGCATGCAGTGGTGGCCCCTTTAGAACTTGGGAGCTTTGAATCATAAGAAATATACTTGTGTTGATAATATTTTATCATGTTGATGCATAACGAAAGGCTACATACAAGTATGTTTCAGTGTTGTCAGACATGTAGCTTGTTAATGTGCACCAGTAATAACTGATTACATCAATGTAGCACAAAATCCTTCTTATTGTTGTGCACTATTTTCCTGCCATTATCTGCTATAACCAAACCTTGATCATTGTTAGATGTTCCACTATGAACAATAATGGAATACAAATATACAAAGAATTGCTTCCTAAATAATTCGTACACCTTTGAAATGTTGCAGAGAATAAATTTGTTTAATGCAAATTAAGCTTTAAGTAGACTTCTGGTGAAAATCATTCTCGTGTAGCTGAGTATTGTGTATAGCTTTCCCTCCAATAATAAACCAATTATCCTCTTAATCTGCGGTCTAAATGAAATTGGAGCGGGCATTTTAATAATAATAATCCTTGCTTTTGATATAGTCCTTATCACGTCTTCGAGCCATCTCAAAGCGCTTCACAGAACATACTGAATAAAATACTTACTTGCATATTAAGCTTGAATATAAAACGTGAGCTACGCCAGTGATCAGATTATGATTAGCAAACTCTAGAATAAGAAGCAGTATGGGATACTCGCTTTGCCGTTTCCACATGGCAGAATTATCATCAAGCCCCATCCAGTTTAATAGCAAAACCTTCATAGCTTCAGGAAACAATTGATCCACCAACTCCTCTGCAGGTGGTAAGTCTGTGATCCTGCTGATATGTGTTGTTTTGAAATCTTCCACTTGACTGCTGATTGAGGCATTGGCAGCATAAAACTGATGCCCCAACCAATTGCTGACCGCATAAAGCATGTGGCTGCCATAAATAGAATCTGCTCCCAGTTCAATAATTTCCGTTTTGACAACTAAGTCTTGAACTTGGGACAGAAATTCCTGCACTGTGTCAACCAACCTCTGCACAGATACAGTTTCACTTAACAAGAGTTCTAAAAAATCAGTCAACAGTGCAATAGCTTTCCCTTGCTCTTGAATTTGTGCAGGTAAATTTCTGATTGCTTGAGAAGCTAATTGGAGCCTTGCAGATAGAGAATCATAACCTGTGGCCTCCAAACGTGCTGAGTTATTTGGACAGGGTTCACTCTCTTGTACACAGTAGCTGTGGTCACCTTCACACACAACTCTGGTACTGATACCACAGTCCAAAGATGACGCAGTTGTCCTATTTCTGTTAATGGAATGCAATTCACACTCTGAATAAGTGGCTTGAAACTCCGAAGGCGATGCAAAATCTTGGTGGCTTCCTGTTTCCATAAGGCAATTTTCGGACTGTTCGGAGATGTTTTGCAGGAACTTAATGTTGTAGGTCTGGTTTAGAAGAGGATCATTTATCCTGCCTTTCCACAAATCCTACCACAGAGGGAAAGGTAATTGATGACAAATACTTGATTAGATTTACCATCAGTAAAATTGTTAAATATGAAAACGACTAATCTATTGTGTACTTGTAGTACCTTAAGAATGTCGAGGACTTCTAACTGTTGCTCTTTACTGTACATTTCGAAAGCCACTCGAAACAGTCCCTGAATGCTGTAAAACCACAAACTGTTCACCACACTTGGCACCTTCAGTCCTTCAAATCGTATAGCTGAAAGTAAATGGTTACAGGATAGACAGGATTCAACATAAAACGTGACAGTCCTGAGAAACACGAGAAGTGGAGCAATTCACATTTTCTTTCTCAGTAGAAAAACTGCACGGGCCAACCGATTAGTCCTGGACGACAACAGCCACTGCAGAGAGACTATGTTTAGAGAATTTAGGATTTCTTTGCACATCTGGCTATTTGCAATGTCAATCCAGCTTGTATTAAGAAAGATAATAATAATAATAATCCTCGCATTTGATATAGCGCTTTTCACGTCGGGAGGACGTCCCAAAGCGTTTCACAGAACACACTGTAAAGTGAATTGACTACATTTGTGGGCGAACGCGGCAGCCAATTGCGCAGAGCAATGTCCCACAAACAGTCGTAGATTGAAAATGACCAATTTATTATTGTTTTTGGTTTTGGAGGGATTATTATTAGGCTCTGTGTGGAGTAAGGAAACTTGCCCAAGGTTTCGCCCTCTGCCTGGAATTGAACTCAGATCTCTCGCTTGCAAAGCGAGTGCTCTAATCACTGAGCTACAGGACTCCACGAGCTACAGGATGACCTATGAAAAACACCTAAATAATCTGGAGCGCTCAGAATCTCGGAGCAGGCCTTATAGACATATAAGGTGCTAATTGAGTTACTGTAAGTACCGTTACTTTTAGATACTTCAAGGCATTAGGTAAAGGGGGCATAGATTTGGGGGTGTGAAGGGCAGGTTCAGGATAAACACAGGGTCTTGCTACCATTTCAGTTGGAAAGAAAGAATTTGAGTTTGAAGAACTGAATGATGTAACTGCAAAGAAGTCAAATGGTTTGTATACAATACAGCATATAGATGAATTCGCCCACAAAATACAGTCACTGCATTTTACAGTAGATTCTGTGAAGCCCTTTGAGACATCGTAACGGCGTGATAAGGTGCTATATCAAATGTAAGGATAATTAATTAATCCAATTTTAAAATCAAAAGGGTTTGCCTTCTCTGTCTTACAATTTGCCCCGAGTAATTTTTACAGCTAACAATGCTTGCAGAGCGAAACGAGAAAGGCAAAGAGTAGAGGTCAAATCTCGGAGCACTATCGTACCTGAAGTGAAGCTCAATTTGGTTGCCAGTCCTTTCTTTGCAAACTTTGCGTGAATTCTTGGATGATTTTCAACCCGAATACCGGTTTTAGCAACAATGTCAGCCCCCAGGAAAAGGGGAGGCAGATTCTCCTAAAAGAGAACGGAGAGGGAAACCAAACGCAAGATGTTAGGCAATATTACCTACAGGGAAGAAATAAACAACAAGAAATTACATCTGTAAAGCTTCTTTCATGTTGGGGGGGGGGGGGGTTAGGGATCAGGAGGGGTTGAGGGCAGGAAGGGAGAGGGTAGGAGGATGACTGAAGGTACAGTCCAAGAGAAAGATTTTACTTCTATTAAATATTGTTGCATTTTCCTACTGGCAGGATAATGCAAGCTGCAGATCCATTGTCAAGAGATGTGAAGTTACACGAACCTCCGTTTGAATCTCCTTGCACACTTTAATCGATTCGGGCGACCTCAGGAACAGATATCTGAATTTGCGGTGCCCAACGCTCCACTCAGGTAAACACACTGGAACTCCTTCAGCAGATTCCATGATTACTTTGACGGTGCATCCACATCCCCTGAAGCTGCAGAACTGCTCGGGTGCCTTGGGACTTTCTTATAACTTGGGACGTTTTTCCGACGTGAAAGGCGCCATACAAATGCAATTTTGTTGATGTTGTTGCCACGTTGCACCAGGAGCCAGTTTCCCTCCTCCTTATAGTTTGATCCAATGCTTCATGCCGTTTTTTACTCGTGAAAAGGTCTTAAATTCCAGAACATACACCAGGCAGCATTTCCTTACACGGAACAGTAATCAATAGCTGGAACGGGTTCCCAGGAAGGGTGGTCAAGGGCGGGACCCTGGATTCATTTAACCAACTGGTTGAGAAACGGTGCCCGCTATTGGAGAGATGGTGGAGGGCTGGTAATCAAATCGGAGAGATTGACTGAGGAGAAATAGCCCTCTTCTCAAGTAAGAAGTAGCGAGTCGCTGAGATGGCGATCACTTTGGAAGCGATGAGATCAAATGGGGCCGAAAGACACCTCTTCGCGTGAACCTCTGGTGATCTCCTTTTTCCTTTCCCACCATTCAGAGACCCTCCTTAAGTTCTCTTTCCTCTTCCTCTCTCTCTCTCTCTTTATCTTTCTTCCTCCCCCTCTCCTTTCTTCCCTCTCCTCTCTTCCCCTCTCCTCTCCCTCCCCCTCTCTCCCTCCCTTCCTCTCCCTCCCTCTCTCTCCCTCCCCCTCTCTCCCTCCCTTCCTCTCCTCTCCCCCTCTCTCCCTCCCTTCCTCTCTCCCTCTCCTTTCTTCCCTCTCCTCCTCCCCCTTCTCCTCTCCCCCCTCTCCCTCCCTCCTCTCTCCCTCTCCTCTCCCCTCTCTCTCTCCCTCCCTTCCCCTCTCCCTCTCTCCCTCCCTTCCTCTCTCCCTCCCTTCCCCTCTCTCCCTCCCTTCCCCTCCCTCCCTTCCTCTCTCCCTCCCTTCCCCTCTCTCCCTCCCTTCCTCTCCCCCTCCCTTCCTCTCCCCTCCCCCTCTCCCCCCTTCCTCTCCTCTCCCCCTCTCCCTCCCTTCCTCTCTCCCTCTCCTTTCTTCCCTCCCCTCCTCCCCCCTCTCCCTCCCTTCCTCTCCCTCCCTTCCCCTCTCCCTCCCTTCCTCTCCCCCTCTCCTCTCCCCCTCTCCCTCCCTCCCTTCCCCTCTCCCTCCCTTCCCCTCTCCCTCTCTCCCTCCCTTCCTCTCCCCTCTCCCTCTCTCTCTGGAGGTGTTGCTATGGGGAAGACCTCTGTTGCGTACGTGCGCGCGACCCCTGACCTTTGACACGACTCCGGTGGGGGGGGGGGAGGGAGGGAGGGAGGGAAGCGGGAGGTCAGTCACAAGATGGCGGCGGCGTCGGTGGGTTTCGGTGACCGGGAGCTCTTCCAGGAGTTTAACGACGACGGGGAGTCCCCGGGGCCGTCTCACATCCGTTTCCGCGACGAGGAGGACGACGACGGCGGCGGCGAGGGGGGCGAGGCGGCCGCCGAGTCGCTGAGGAGGCGGCTGGAGGAGTGCGAGGAGCGGGCGGGGGCGCTGCAGGCCGAGAATATCCTGTGTCAGCAGCGGCGCCGGGAGGGCGGGCGGGCGGGAGGGAGGGAGGAGGGAATCAAACGGCGGCGCCTGTACGGGAGCTCTCGGCGGGAAGACGATAGGAACCGGAGGAGGCCATTCAGCCCCCGTGAGCCCGTTCCGCCGTTCAGTTAGATCATGGCGGATCTGTACCCCCCCCAACGCCACTTAATATACCCGCCTTTGCCCCACATCCCTTGACCACCTCCTCCCCCCCCCCCCCCCCGACCTAACAGATATCTGACCGCCTTGGAAAATTTGAACCGGTCCAGCATCCGCCGCCGTTCCGGGGAGGGACGGAGTTCCAGGTGTCCACTACCCCCCTTCTCCCCCCCCCCACCCCCCCTTTCCCTTTTCACCTACATGGAAAAACCGCTTCTTGGTCCCACTCCTGAACGGCCCAGCGCTGATTTTAAGATGCCGCCCCCACTGGTTTGTTTGGAGTCCCGCGCCAGAGGCAACCGGCGGGAGCCGGTGACGGGACGGCGCGGAGGGTAACGCCGCCATCTCAGCGGCGCTTCCTTCTCCGGGAACAGCCCGCGACCTCCAGACGCACGCCCTCCGCTTGACCGCACTTGAGCCACAAAACCGACGGACGGACCCTGAAACGGGCTGTGCTGCCGGCAGATAGTTGCAGACAGTTGCGCGCAGCAGTGTCGCACAAACAGTCGTGCTTTACTTTCACATTCCCTGTTAAGTTTCTATCTGCAGCTGCCTCTTCTATCACCCGGGGAGCTTCGCTTTCCTTGGGGAATTTGCTGTGTGATTTTGTTTTAGTTTAAAACGACGGCAGATGCATCAGATTCCCAATATCGTGGTTTTATCAGATTGATGATGAATACTTGTTTGGTTTCACTTTCAATTCCTCAGCACATCCCTATCCCCTCTCTGTGCCATGCTTTTCATTGGATCTTCACAGCTATTTGCTCTATAGTATGTGTGAAGGATACATTTAAAAATATCTAAAAAATTATTTCAACATCTGTAATATCCAGTCCATAATACACTAAGAGACTGACTTATTAGAGTTGTTTGGAATGTACTTACTGCCAATCTTAAAGATTTCCTTGACAGTCAGCTTACATCAGGAACTCAGACGGAAGCTAAACTTATTGACTCAGCCAAGGTGAGTTGGACATTAAGGAAGTACAAGGCATTTAATTCTGAATTATGGTATCTAGTATTGTCTTAACTAACTTTTATAGTACACTCTTGTCCTCCAGCTATGGATATATTTTATTTCATACAGTACCATGTGTGTTTGTATCATTGTGTCAGATAGAACTTCTTAGCAAGTTGTGTGTGTTTTATTATTCCTACCTACTTTTGAAGGTAGTTCAAATGGGAATAATTGTCTACTTCCTTATCTGATTTATAAAACTCGAACAGGTTAGAATTTGGTGGGTTGAAGTAGGACAACTGCCTTCATTTGAGTTTTAGAAAAAAAGTATTTTCTATATTCTACAGTGCAGTGTTCTATTGAGGGCTTAGAGGTAAGAGATACCATTCAGGTATATAGTTCAAGATAATTAAGGAGTAACGCATGAAAGTTAAGATTTAGGGTTTTTTAGTGAAAAATGCAACTTGATTGGAGTCTGAAATTTGGAAGATTTTTTATTTAAACCTGTCAACTTTTCTGTTTATCTTTTTGGTCCTTAGAATTGTGGTGAGCGATTCCAAGTTGGATGGTCCCCTAGTTCAGGTCTTGTTTATGAACAACAACATTTCCAAGTAAGTTTATGTTGAACCATTAATGAAATAATCCTTGCATTTGATATAGCACCTTATCACATCGTTGAGACATCTCAAAGCGCTTCACAGGATATACCATAAAGTGGACTGTGTATTTTATGGGCAAAACAGGTTACTTAGCTTTGCTTGCTCATTTGTCGCAAGATTCTCACTTTAATATTAGCTTTAGAGTCTTCAATTTAAAAGACACACCATCATTTTTTTATAATTCAGACGGTATCATCAGGAAATTGAAGATTTCATCACAGGGCTGAGAGAAAAATATGAAAAGGAAAACCAGAGTGATCTTGAAAAATCATCATTTAACGTGAAACCGCAGGTAAGTGAAGGTATTGCACATCAGGGGTTGGAAGATTGTTATTTCTGATCAGAATTTTTCTTTATATATATATATAAAAATATTCTCTTCACAGCCATCAAGTGTAGTGCTGACAGAGCAGCGGAAGGCGGACACTCTGAATACAATAAAGAAAACAAAAGATGTATTTTACGTAAGTCAACATGGTTTGTGTTTCGTAGCAGTATTTTCAGACCTTTGGGTGAGGGGCCTATGTATGATGAAAGCCTGGGTGCATGTGGGTTATGTTGTATTTCACCCACAAAATACACTGTCACTCCACTTTACAATATATTCTGTGAAGCATTTTGAGAAGTCTCAACGATGTGATGAGATGCGATATAAAATGCAAGGATTACTATTATTATGGCTGAGGAGGTTAAAGGGTGATCTGATTGAGGAGTTTTAGATAGTGAGTATAATGGGTAGATCCATACTTGGGAAGTAAAAATGTTAGATGATGTGGAGAAAATGGGATTAAAAGATCTGTCGGGATCTAATAAAATGCAGAGTGGACTGAGTGACTTCCTCCTCCTATGCGTCATTATGTGACTGATGAGAGTTGGGGAAAATTCTGAACATTTAATGATTGCTCAAAATATTAACGTCATGGAAAGAAAAAGGCCCTTTGGTCATAGGAACAGAATGAGGCTATTCAGCCCATCGAGCCTGTTCTGCCATTCTATTAGATCATGACTGATCTGTACCTCAACTTCAATTATTCAGTTGTTCTTGTAGTCTGTTTCTTGTACATACCATCTGCGAATGGTCTAAGGAAAGGTTGTGCAGAATTTGCAATTATGCAAGTAACAGCAGCAAACGACATCTGTGGTCGTTGTCAACTGATCCAATGAATATCAGGAAAGCTTTGTACATTGTTTTCACACAGGTTGTGGGAAGCGTTCAGTACTTCACCAATTTCTGCCTTGACAAACTTGGACAACCACTGCTTAACGAGAATCCACAGCTGACTGATGGATGGGAAATACCAAAGTATCCTGCACAATTAAAGGAAAATGTGGAGTCCTGTGGTGTAGTGGTTAGAGCACTTGCCTTGCAAGCGAGAGGACCTGGGTTAGATTCCCGGGCAGGGTGAAACGTTGGGCAAGTTTCCTTACTCTACAAGCCTCTGTTTATCTAGCAGTCAGTAGGAACCCGGTTGTTAGTCTGTTGGCGGATCGCTTTTCTAGAGGTAATAAGCCATTTTTTAAAACAAATGTGGTCATTGAATCTATGACTATTCGTGGGATACTGCCAGGCACAATCGGCTACCACGTTTCACCCACAAAATATACAGTCAATTCACTTCACAGTATATTTTGTGAAGCGCTTTGAGATGTCTCGAAGACATGATAAGGTGCTATATCAAATGCAAGGAGAAAAGCAGAGAAAATTGGAAAAGAATTGGAGCACTAAAATTTAATTTGGGAATCGTCATAGTACAATGCAAAATGTATTTGATTTCCTTATTATAATTGTGGCAATTATTAATATATCTCTGGAGTGGTTTGATACAAATGACCAGAGAGATTTTTGATGGAGATAAAAGAACCAGATTAATGGGGTTCTGTTGTAGCCTCTTTCTCTCTTAGTACAATATCCTTTGTGTCCAAAACAATTGTTTGTTGACTATGAGAAGGCTCACGTGATTTAATGCTGCACGTTTATTAAGGCACGTAAACTGGTGTGATGTGTGTCCAAAGATCTTGTTGCGTAATTCCTGAATGTCCTGTAAAGATACGAACAAATCTTTGCCCAGGCCGTGTCCTTAGATGGACAAGAAGTGGGATTGAAAGCGAAGAGGTACGTATAATGCCTTCAATTGTCTTACTGGAGAATCTATCAAAGTATGTGCTTGTGAGATTTCTGAGAGAGGGGAATGTGTTGTTGACATGTGGGAAAAAAACGTTTTGTATCAAACAGACCGAAGGCGTGTTGTTTCAACTGTGGTTCAACAGAACATCAGCTGAAAGATTGTCCGAAGGTAAGATGGCCATGAATTTGCACTGTGATTTTTTTTAACCTATGTTTTTCACATAAAATGGCAGGAGAATATGGGGTGCACTCTTCCAGAAGCCAGCAGGCGCTGAATTGATTGGGATGTTAGAGAGAAGATAGGTGGAAACTTGAGAAGTAAGGTTTAAGAAGGAAAGGCAGCAAAATGGAATTCAAAGATTTGACATGGTTTATAGTTTCGCCAACAAGATATACAGTCAATTCAGTTTACAGTATAAAGTGCTTTGAGACATCTCAACAACGTGATAAAGCGCTATATCAAATGCAAGGATTATTATAATATACTAACCACCAGTTTCAGTGGGCAAAGATGGAGTTAAGTATCTTGTAGACTCATTGACGAGGCTCACCCATGAGGATTGGCCACTGGGAGGTGCCAGAAGGCTGCAGTTAGTGCATGTGGAGTTCTGCCCCATTGAGAGTCGGCACCTTCAAAAGAGAAGGGGAGAGAGTGCTTTACCCCGGATTATGTTCTAGCCCTACGCAGAGTTTGGGATGATGAACCTACTAATATTTTGCATCCATGTTTTTTCTAGCTTATCTGCACATTCAGTCACCTAAGGTTTTTGTATTTTATTCACTGTGTAAAATAAGCGAAAGTCATCCAAACACCTTCAGCCTTTTGAGTTTGGTATGTTTTACAATAGCCTCGTGACCTGGCTCGCATTAGTGAAAAGCGGAAGGAATTCATGACCATGGTTAGTGATTCACCACATCCAAACTCTCAGCACCGGTACCACGAAGAGAAGTTTGACAAGTTCAAGCCAGGTGTAATCAGGTAAAGACATCTTTGATGACTGAGGAAGAGCACGTCATCTGGTTCCCCTCTCCTTTGTCCTCCTATCTATACCCTGTATTTGCCATTATTTGGAGTCCTGTAGCTCTGGTTGGAGCACTCGCCTTGTAAGCAAGACACCTGGGTTCAATTCCAGGCAGGCGAAACGTTGAGGAAGGTTCCTTACTCCACACGCCTAATAAAATAATCCCTCCAAAAAAAAACAATAATAAATTGGTCATTTTCAGTCCACGTTTGTGGGACGCTGCTGTGCGCAATTGGCTGCCGCGTTTCGCCTATAAATATACAGTCAATTCACTTTACAGCATATTCTGTGAAGAGCTTTGAGACGTCTCAGACATGAAAAGCGCTATATCAAATGCAAGGATTATTATTATTAATTTGTTCTGCATAAAAAATAGCTTTGGTTTGCCAAAGGAAAATTTCTGGGCATAAAGGGTAAATGTAATCAGTCTTGACTCGCTGGCAGTGACTCCTTTCACTTTAATGAGACCAGACAAGAAGCTGGAGCAAGCTTACTAACCACAGCCAACCACCCTTGGAGTTTCAGCAGTACCTGACGTGTCTAGCCCTGGGAATGGGACCCCTAATGTTCAGTGGGAATGGTGCGCTCTTTCACTGATTTGCTCCTTTGTTTTGCTTGTTCTGTTATGCAGCGACGAACTTAAAGACGCTCTAGGCATGACTGATGAAAATCTCCCCCCGTTTATATATCGAATGCGCCAATTGGGTTACCCACCTGGGTGGCTGGAGGAGGCTGAGCTGGAGACTTCAGGGCTTGCTTTATACGATGGAAAAGGTAAAGCGTAAAATCATCAGCACAGAAGGCAGCTGTTCAGCTGCTTGTACCTGTGCTATGCTTGCTCCTCATTGATAACATCAACTTTAAACCAACTTGCTTGCTTCCCCCTTTATATCTTTGATTCTGAAGAGTGTTGAACAAACCCATCAAAACATGACTATAGATGCTTGAATATTGGCCTCTGTAAATTCATTTAAATGTTAAAAGTTTTTTTAAAAAAAAGAAAACAAGTGCCCAATAAATGGGCGGTTGTAAGTTGCTGTGAAGATGGACTTTTTAGCTTTTGGGAAGAATCAACATCCCTTTAACAGTCCATGTTTGTTTTGTGCAGACTCCAGTGATGGTGAAGTACAGGACAACGAGCAACATCCCAAAACTCATCAACCAGCGTATGATACAAGCAAGCTAATAGATTACATAGGGTTCAACGTCATTCTCCCGAAGGGAATACAAGATGTAAGCTTTGTACTTGATATTTCTCAAACCTCTTGTTGGGTAAAGAAAATCTAGTGGGGTACTTGGCTGATTTGTGTATTCATTAGTGCACTGGCCTCGGATCCGGGTTTGATTCTTGGGCAGGATAAAACATTAGGCAGTAAGTAGGAATCTCGTTAGTCAATTTGCGGATTACTTTTTCAGGGGTAATAATCCCTTCAAAAAAAATCTAAGAAATAATAATAATTTGTTCACTCAATGCACGAGTGTTTGTCGGACACTGCTGTGCATAATTGGTTGCCGTGTTTCGCCTACAAAATATACACAGTCAATTCACTTTACAGTAAATTTTGTGAAGCGCTTTGAGATGTCTCGAAGACGTGATAAGGCACTATCTCAAATGCAAGGACTGTTATTACTTTCGGTTCAAAGCAATTGCCTCAAACCAACCAGAAAAGAAGTGTACATTACAGGAGAGAATATGTCTCACAATACCTCTTTAGCTTGACGTGTACGATTTATCTCCTGTTATTGTGTGTCTCCCCAGGAGTGGAGGCTCTATGGTTCGATTCCAATACAGTCACATCACTTGAAGGAGCAATTTGCAAGTCATCTGGCTGCATGTTTTCCCAAGGCAAGTCCCAACACATTTTACCTTTCAGCCCATCCATTAGGTAGAGATCTGTTGCTTTGCTTTTTGCGTTAAGTAGAATCTGAGACTCTTGTGTTTTATTTGCACTGCTGAGCGGTGTGTCATTCTTCGGTAGACAAGACTTTGTCATAAGCAGGCATTGTTTGAAATGTAGTCACGGAACTCAACCAAGGCTTGTTAAAGCCTCTCTGACAACTCCCTCTGAAAGGTATATGGAATATGTGCAAGATCCACAACGACATCTGCTTCTCCACCAAAGCTGTAGTTGGTGATTCCTCCCATCAAGGCCAAGCCGTAAAATAATGCCTGGCCTCTTAATGGAAGTGTTTTGATGACTGTCCTGTTGCTGTGTGACTAACGGTAATTTCTCCCCAGACTGTACTCATTTCTAACAAGAGGGGTTCGGATTGTGACAGAAGCCCTCAGCATGTAAAGAAGCGCAAATCTAATGAACTCGTCTCAAACGCATCCACATTTGACATGGACATTGATTCAGGTATAGAATTTAAGTGCGTTAGTGTACAACTAGTCGCTGTTCCTCATCGAAGACTTCGGTGTTGCTTCAAGACTCAATTTAAGACTTGTGGAAATGGCAGATCCATTTTAAGAGAACATAGTTTTGTTTAAAGTCTCGGATCCTAGGGAGACCTAGATGCAAAACTGCTTTTAAATAATAATTGGAGACTTGTATTCATTACACACTGAGTTTTTAGGTGTTCGGTCTCCACATTTGCTGAAATCAAACAGCATGTGGAATGTCCGCCAGATTTGTTCAGGACTTACTGAGGTTCCAGATAAGCTAAGTTTCAGTACAAACTGAGAATGAGTCACTTGTAGAATTTATGGATCAATCCGAGTTGTGCAATGGAAGCTTTGTGTGTAATTTTCTTGTTTATTACTTTCACAGGTTCAGATACTCCAAGGCCTAGAAACCATGTTCCTTCCCTGCCTCCCAATCACCAGCTGCGTTCAACCCCGCCTCCTTTACCCAAAGGAACGCCCCCTGCAACACCGCCCTCCTTCATCCCACCTCCACCCCTCACCCCAACCCCTCCTCCACTCCCCAAAGACACCCCGCCATCGACCCCTAACTACTCTCCAGCAGGGTGTTCACAAGGAAAAGGTCACTTCAGCAGCATTCCTCGGATTGTGGACGAAGCTTTGAATGAAGACGGCTTATCGCTGGAAGAGCTGGAAGAACAACAGAGGTTGATCTGGGCTGAGCTGGAGCAGGCTGAGAGCATCAACAGTGAGGTGGAGGCTCCTTCCGATTCCCCTCTCACCCGGAACTCTGCAGGCTCCTCCCTGGCACTGAATCCTCCCGACATTCCCATGGAGTTTGAGGAATCCGGTGGAAAAACGGGAATCATTGGAAATAAAACGAAGAGCCCCAGTGCAGAAGCATCTTTGGTGGACTCTAGGGATGAACCAGTCAGTGTAATGGAAAGTACCACCCTCAACAGGAGGAGAGTCAAAAACCGGAGACTGTGGAGGCAGAAATGCACTGCAACAGTGGCACTGAAGAGGAGCCCGCACTGAAGCCGGCCACTGGAACCACGAATGGAGGAAACCAGGTATGTTTGGAGGAAGCCACCGACGATGGGGTCCCAGGTTCTGCCGTTTCCAAAGCACAAGCCGAGCACCGGGTCTCCTCCGTCCCCGACATCGGCAAGTTCGCCACAGGAATCACGCCGTTTGAATACGACAATCTCTCCGAGTCGACGGGGACGTACCTCAAACTGAGGAGCCTGCTGAAGAACTCCCCGAGAAACCAAATGAAGAAGAAATGAACTGTGGGTCTGTCTCCGTGGGGAAATGCACTCAAGACAGCAAGATCCAGGACTTCTTGTCTCACCGGGTGACCGTGCACTAACTACGCTGGTGCTTTCTTCACCGAGATGTCTCCACAGCAGAGGGTGGTGTTTTCTCGGAAGACATCACAGAGAAGTGGATGTTATTGCTGTTTTTTTATTTACAAAAAAAACAAACGGTGATGAGTGAAAATTGCAGTGTTGTCTCTTGTTGCAGAAAGGAACCTTTTGTTGTGTAATATTTACTTTGAAAGGTGTCCCCCCGGGACGTGATCTCATTCTACATTTTCTGAACAGTCTTAAAATGTAGAGTGATGGGATTTTTAGTCAATACTTGTACATGGAATCTTTGTTTATATAACAGAACACACAATTGATATTTGTTTTTTGATATTATCAGTGTACTTTTGTATAATTATACCAAGGATTTTAATGTATTTTAAAATTCTAATAACTGATCATTGAAATTGTCAGGGATTTACCAGGGCTGTTTTCAGGTATTTTATGAATATCCACATATGCTTTAGTTTTTTAAAGCTGCTTCTACCTTTATAACGCCATTCTTTACAACAACAAAAAAAGGTGTACAGCTGTGGATTACAGAAATATGATAAAAAAATTCTACAAAATCCTAGTTTAGTATTTTGTGACTGCATTAAATGGTTTTGAAATATCTTAGAAGTTTATTCTGCTGATTTTCCTCCTGCCATCCTGTGCTTCTGGTTCTCCGGTGGCCTTTGAAGTTGAGCACAGAGTATTTGCAGTGAACCCCCCCCCACATTCACTTTCTCTCCACAATTGACAGTCCTGATATTAATTAGCACAGAGTGAGACAGGCAAGTGTTTTTAACCACAATAATAATAATAATCTTTGCATTTGATATAGGAGTATCCTGAGTCAGGAGGCTGGGGATCAGCATTTCATCCCTGTGTTTCACTGGACATCGCACAGCAGTGCAGATGGATCCATATATTGGTGCTGAAATGTTGCTAGCACAGCAAGCAAGTGGCTTGTAAGAGCTGTAATAAATGAGCAGGTGTAACCCCAGGAAAGTGCATTGTAAGCTCTGATTCATCGAATCCCTTACAACATTTCAAAGAGCCTTTGGGATGGGAGTTGCATTTGGGTGTGGATCAAAACAAGGTGAGGTGTTGAGGTTTCTCTGGTTTATGCTTCTGGAACACATCAAAGTGCTGACGGCTTCTTTTTTACATTACATCATTCTTTTCAGAACAGCTTCAACAGACCACAAGAAAGCTGGTGTTTACCCAGTAATTCTACCTGGTGTGGTCACAACCACAGCTTATACTGCAGTTGCACTGAAAAGAATTTGAGATAATGACATCTTTTTAGGTTTCTAGTTTTGAGGACCTACTTGGAAAAAAACAGGGTATTTTTCCTTGAAATGGGGCGGTTAAAGAGTGGATCCTACTGAACTATTTAGAGAGGGTAATTCCCATTGTTTGGTGACTCGATAATCTCTGATTTTGAAGAGCATTAGATCAGGTGTTTTTTCAATGGAAATGTTACTGTAGCTGTGAATGGGATTCCCAGAAGCCAATTTGGGCTTTGACCCTTGGGGGTCCAGCAAGGAACATTCACAGAAATACTATACAAATTTACATTTATATAACTGCTTTCAAGTGGGAGGACATACCAGGGCGCTGGGGAATGTCCCAAACCATTGTCCTTTCATCAAGTGGATTGATTGTCTTGTCTTTATCTTTGAGCGTGGTGTAATTTTGACATATTGTCTGGCACACAGTGCTATTATTAAATGATGGCCTAGAAAATAACTAGACTGGCCACTTTGACATGTACCATGAGCCATTTTTAGTGGCCTGTCTACATACTGTATTTTCTAGCTCTCTACAAATGCAAGTACGATTGGAAATTTGCCCACAAGAGAAATCACACACACCTACAGCCATCTAACCATTCCATATGCACACCAACCCCTGCAGTTTAAAAGCTACAGCCTTCATGATTCAATCACCCTGAATTTCAAATGAATCTATAAATAGATGACAGTCAGTCTCTTTTCACAATGCTAAATTTACATTTGTCAATGAATTAAAGGAATTGGGCAGATCAGAATTACTGAACTGAAAAAACTAGCTCAACCAAGCTGATTTGAAGAAATACAGTAAACTGATAACTTGACCCTGGTTTAACTTGTCACTACCACCAAAGTCATAATGCTATCAATGTCATGGCCACATTTATTTATGTATTTATACATATGCCTTAAATGCGGATAACTCGTCACTGAGCTCCTTTCCCTTGGAGCGATGAGTTATCAGGAGTTTACTGTAGTCAAATCAGCAAGAGTGAAGTATAAATGGCAGTTGATTTTATAGAGCACCTAAAATATATTTTATGAAGGTGTAAATGAACAATTTTATAATAATGCACATGGTATATGTAATCACATTAATTGTCTCAGCTGACACTCCTGTAATTACCAGAGATCATCTGGTAATACTCATTCTTCATGCTAGCAGCTGGCACATTGGAAGAATTTTAAAATAGGATTCAGGCAAAAGGGAGTTCTTAACCATTTCATGTTAATATTCAAGCTAAAGCAGAGAATAGATTTGTTTTTAAAATGCCTTGGTGTTGATGCAAACATTTGAGAGCAGATTATATCAAGCACACATTGAAGCAATTCGAGACCTGAAAGGCACAAACTGTGTATTCATGTAAATTGTTTTGTATCAATATTGTGTTAAGCCAACAAAAAAAAGTCACTATCTTTGATAGTAATCTCTTGCAAAGCTGCTTGAGGCGTTTTGATATTATGTGACGCAGTGTCAAATGTATGGGTCTTGTCATGGCCGTGTCCTTATTGCCACACCCTCCCCCTACGGGGTCGTACGGACGGGTTTATAATACAAGCGACGTGCGCACATTTGCGGGGCGCGCTTATAGAAACAGCTCGAATGTCCCTGCGTGCACCGCGTCCGCGAGCGGGCGAGTTGCATCCAGCCTTCCAGGGCGCTCTTGACCACCACGGCGAGCGTCCCGGTGCACGTGGCGGGTGCACCCAAGGTTTAAAATGATGGTATGAATAATAATACTATTTAGCTGGTGGTAAACGTGTGCGCTCCGAGACGCCGAAGGGCGCCGCGTACGGGCGAATGGTTGTTTTGTTGCGCGGAGGTACACCAAACAGAAATAAAGTGAGTGTCCTTGTGGGGGTGGGTGGGGGGGGGGCGGTGGGGGGCGAATAATAACTGTGCAGAGAGATACAACCCCATAATCACCCAATGACCTCATGTTGCTGTGTGTGTGTAGTGGTGGTGGTGGTGGTGTAGGGATCACGTGACCAGAGCCCTTCCCCGGGACCACGTGACCAGAGCCCTCTCTCGCTCCCCTCCGGGGGATCACGTGATCAGGGCCCTCCTCGGGGATCACGTGGTCCGAGCTCCTCGGGGGGAGGGGTCACACGGTCGGAGCCCGCCTCGCGCGGCGGCGGGGGGGGGGGGTCACGTGGGTGGAGCCTGCAGAGGAGGGTTCGGTCACGTGGCGCGATCTGGGCGGGAAGAGCGGTGGGAGTGGGTGACGGCGCTGCCTCTGAGGAGCGAGCGGCCACCGCCCGGCGACTGGTCAAGCCGCGAGCCTCGCCGGTAGGTAGGGAGGGAGGGAGGGGAAGCCGGGTGTCCCGGCTCGGAGGAGAGGGGAGGGGGAAGCGGCTACCAGGAGGTGGGAGAGCCGCGACCAGGGAGGGGGAAGGGGAAGTGGAGAGGCCTCGGTGTCTGGGCCTTTTTCCTCCCCTCAGCGGGCACCGGGGAGAGTGTGGAGCCGCCTGACACACACACACACACACACACACGCGCACACGCGCGCGCGGCCTCGAGCCCTTTGGTCGACCTCCTGCTCTGTCCTGAGGCGCCCCCCTCCTTAATAACAGCAATAATAATAATTAATAATAATAATAAACACGCTGCCGGTTCGCTCGGCGGCGAGGAATGATACTGACGTGAGTTTATTTGGGCTCCCGGTGCCACAGGGGGGGCTGAGGAGTGGGGATGTGGCACTTTCCTCCCTTCCTGTCTCAAGGCTCACAGACTCTCTCTCCCCCTCTCTCTCTCCCCCCCCCCCTCTCTCTCCCCCCTCTCTCTCTCCTCCCCTCTCTCTCTCTCCCCCCCCTCTCTCTCCCCCCCCCTCTCTCTCCCCCCTCTCTCTCTTTCTCCCCCCCCCCTCTCTCTCCCCCCCTCTCTCTCTCTCTCCCCCCCCCCCTCTCTCTCTCTCTCTCCCCCCCCCCTCTCTCTCTCTCTCCCACTACTTTGCGGAGAAAGTGAACTTCAAAATGCTCGTTTAAAAGCCGAGAGGACCGTCCTCCCCCCCCCCCCCACCCCGCGTTGTCTGTCTGTCTGTTCTGTCTCTCTCTTTTTATTAAGCGTTATTGTTTTTGGAAGAGTGTGAATGGCGAGGTTTTGGGGGATAAACCTCACGATTCCACAGCCCGATTCTGAGCAGTACCACTTAGGATTTTATGAGTCTGCTAGTTATCTGCTGATGCATTCTGTGTTGGTTTAAGTATTAAGTATTAAACCCAACTGTAATCAATCAACTTGAACTTGACTGATCAAGCTGTACATTTTTAAACTGGCACTGTGCTGCCTTGGCTCATTGAGTTTTACTAATCGTACTAACTATTTCCTGTAAGTGACTTGTGTCCCAAACCCAACCACCAGATGATTTGCAGCTATCTCCAGGCTTCTTTCTTAGTTTACCTGTAAGTCTGACTGGTTAGAGCTTCCTTTCAGAGATTGACAGTGGTTTGGGTTTGCCGTTCACCAGAAGCTACTCCGGAACCTCGTTTTTTTTAATCTCCTTAAAATTCTTGTTTACCAGCTTTATGACAATTTTTTTTTATTATTCTAGTGTTTATTTTGGTCGTACTGCAGCTTTTTAAGTATGGCAATATTTGTTCTTAGTCGTACTAGACGTACTGGGTATTTGTTGTTGGTCAACTTGTTAGAACTTTTTAAAATGCCCACAGGGAGTGGGAGGAAGAGTTCTGGACACAATCATGTGATGTGAGACGGGAGCAATGTTAAGTGGAACTGTATGTAGAGTGAGTGGGAGAGTGGGGCTAAATTAGGAGGCTTGTGTGGAGAACAGCACAGACTTGCTGAGCCTGATTCTGAGCTGTAATACTATGATTTTATGAATCTCCTCGTTATCTGCAGATGCATTCGGTGTTGGTGTAAGTACAAAACAAATTTGATGATCCAGTTTTGGATACCATATGTAGTACAGATATAATGTGGAGGTGGATTTGCGATCGGTTTGCTTTCCCTCAAACCTGCATCTTGCACATTATCAGACCATTTGTTCATTGAGATTTCCAAATCAAAATTCTGTGAATGTTAAAGTGTGTATTTCAGCAAAACTGTAAAAAGACACAGAGGGGGTCAATGAATAGCTCCTCAGTCTACTAGGAATGATCGAATACTGAGGGTAGGTTATCTCATTCTTTTGCAACAATGTAGTTTTAGATGAGGGAATTATGGGGGGATAAGTTGTTGTGGTTTGATATTTGCATTGAATTAAACAAAGTCCTATGTTTAAGTTGGGTCTCAAAATAGGAGGAACTAAATATTTTGATTTGACAACTAATATTAATCAGTTAATTTGGATTGAGTATTGAGGTTAGTCTTATAATAATAATAATCCAACCAGTGTTACTACTTTTGAACAATTATATTGAACCTCCCCATGGAGATCTGACAATTACATTTTCACAATTGACCATTTCTAAAGCTGGAGCTGACCTTTCATTAATTAAAGGTAAAATATCTTCCTTCCAATGATGAAAGATTGCTGCTTAGGTTAATTCTAATTGCTAACGTAAAACATATACTTTGATTTGTGAAGGGGGAAAGTGTGTGTGTGTTAGCCAGCTTTTACATGGAGATTGGCAAAACAGATGTTCCTATTATTTCTAAGCAAGATTTCAATACCTTTGATATTTGGTTCAATGGCTGAGAAGATCTATTTCTATCAATGCAAGATTTGGAAGGATGAGATACAAGGTATGTAAGGCCGGAGCCAGCTGAGTGGTGGGAGCGAGCAGGATGATAGGGGGTTAGGAGCTTGCAGAGGTAGGAGAGAACAAGAACATGGAGGGTTTTGAAGGTGAGGACCAGGATCTTGAACTGTATCCTCTGTGTGATGGGAAGCCAGTAGAGTCAGGCGAGGATGGGGGTAATGGGAGCCTGGTGCGGGAAAGGACACGGGTTGCAGAGTTCTGGATGATCTGCAGCCTATGGAGGGAAGAGTTGGGGAGGCCGACAAGTAAGATGTTTGTATAGTCAAGCCTCGATGTAATGAAAGCGTGTATGAGGGTTTCGGCAGCCTGGGGTGTGAGACGGTGGCGGAGTCGGGTGATGTTCCGGAGGTGAGGGAAGGCAGAGCGGGTCATGGCACAGTTGTGGGGTAGAAATATAGTTGAGGGTCAAACAAGACGCCAAGGTTCCGGACTGGCTTAGTAAGGTGGAGTGTGCATCCACGGATGGTGATGCTCTCAGCACCTTAGGTTTGGAGGCGCTGACTGGAGCCAATCAGGAGTGCATCAGTCTTGTTGACGTTCAAGTGTAGAATATTAGCTCTCATCCAGGACTTGATGTCTGACAGACCTTCTGTCAGGACAACAGTGGTCCTGGAGCCTAGGGTAGAGGCAGAGAGTTGGGTATCATCTGCATACGTGTGGAAGTTGACTCCATGTCTTATATATGTATAGTAGATTATGCTTAGACCCTTTCAGATACTGGAGTTTTTTTCTCAAGCTTTCTGTTTTAATTTTTCCTGTATATTTCATTTGCCGCATTTGGGATTTCAAACATATCCTGAAACTGTTAAAGGGCATTTGAGCTGAAAATTGTGGTGATTTCATTACTTTTGGCGAAGCCGAGGTTGTGCAATCATCTACTGTGTAATGATTACCATTGGATGTTCTTGTTCAGTCAGTGACAGACTGTGACAGAGCTGATAGAAATGGAATTATGATAACAATGCAGTAGTCACTCAAATTGGCAATTTGTGTTGCATGAACAATAGATAGTTTATTTGGCAAAGAGAATAAATACTGTTACACAGATGAGGTATTCCATGATCTTTAAGACAGTATTCATTTTGTACCAAGGGAAGAATTAAAACCTTCTTCTGTATTTTGAAAAAGAGTTTGAAGATTTCTGAGAGGACGGTAGAACCTGCTTTAAATCACAAAGTATAATTTAGAGGAAACTTGTGAAAAACAATTTTTTCAACATTTAGTTTCCTCTTTTGCTTCATCATTTGTCTTTTCTCTCATCTAACTTAACTTGTCAAAAATGGAATTTGTAACACAATGTGATTTGGCAAACCACTTACAGATTTGTTTTTTCAACAGGATCAGTATGGGGGGATTCAGATTGGTGTGCTTTATCACTTGGCAAATACAAAAAGGCAAATCCTCTTAAAATACATTGTAAAGATCAAAGAGCAACACACTAGAAAGAAGAACTAGCATTTTTATAGGGCCTTATTGAGTCAAATATCTCAAAGGGCTTCACAGTAATTATTGTCAAGCAGTGACCATTTTTCTGTGTAGATTCACTGCTATTCATATTATAATTAGAGCTGCTTCAATTAACATGTTTCAGGAGTTCTTCTTTATTTAAAATGTAAAAAAATGTTATCAGTTTATGGAATTCAGGTTAAAAACACCTGATGGATATCTATGCATTTTAATTGGAAATAAACCAGAGAACACATTGGGCATGACTAAATGTTTTAATTGCTTGCCTCTTAGTAGATGAACTAACTTGGATCAGCCTTCATTTTTAAACTTTTGGGATTTGTTGTGGTGTGAACTCAATTTATTCTCAGGGGACTGTTTTTTTTAAAAAGCTTTCAAAATTCCAGGTTCCCTCAGAATACCCAAAATATATTTTGCTGTGAGTGGGCGGGGAGGAGACAATCCCTTTGTGCATCGCTCGTGTGAAGCTCTTGGTGAGATAATGGTGTTAGTATCAAATGCAAGGATATTATTATGTGACTGACAATGTTGGTGTCATTGTTGGTGACAATCGGGTAGAAGTGATTATTCTCTTCCCCTCTCACTGTGTGCAGTAGCTGCTTTGAATAGTGAGAATTCTTCAGATACTAAATGTTCTTTAGTACCAAATACAAAACCCATCAAAACAGATGCAGCCTTTGTCTCAAAAAACCTTCACTCCAATGGAAGTCATTAAACTTTTTTTTATTAATTTGGGTGTCACATTGTAATCAAGAGAGTGTAATTTCCTAATCCATTGCATGGTCGATGAATTCCACAGAAATGTGTTAAGGTCATGGTGGTTTAACTCTGGCCTGCTCAGATTACAATTTAAAGCAGCACATATGTCAGACACCCAGCTTGTAAACTAATAACCAGCACTGCATTTCAGGGCATATCTCTGCATAAAACCCATCTGTGCTAAAGTCTGTCCATTTTGATTGCAAAGAAAATTCAAACCTTTTGATGATAAAGATACCAGATTATATGTTTGCTGCTGTTCAGACACTTTATCTGCTGTTGGATGTTTAGAATTATGCTTGGAATTTACTTGCATTTTTGTGGCCCTGGCATTCAGACATC